TTTTTTTGTGAAAATGCATACCATTTAACTGTTCTTCTCAGCTACTCTCATTGGCAGAGGATATTTTAGAAGTCAATTTAAAATCAAGAAATTTTAAAGATGGGAAATCAAACTGTATGTACTCAGTTAACTTTAAAATCTTCCTTAACACCAACTCTTATAACACAGAACATGGACCCCAGCTGCTCAGAGCCTCATGTCTTACCACTGATTCTCATCTTGTTCTTGCTCATCAAGTGTAGAGAGAAATATCCTCAGATCAAAGCCTAATTGGGAGCCCCAACTGTGTTGTCTCCTAATCACTGTAAAATTAACTTATCACTATATCATTACCTCAAATAACCTTATAAAAGATTGATTTTGTATTACTGTCTGGATTTCTATATACTTCAGCCAAATACCTATCATTTTCTAAGGAACATAAATTGATTCTTTAACCATTTGGAATAACTAGTAACACTAACTGAAAACCCAGTAGCATATTGCAATCACAGAAACTATTATTTATTTCTTACATTCCTGGAAGAAAGGACTATTTCTCAAAATAGACAAAGTCAAGGAAAACACTGAATGTCTGTGTAACAAATCAATCCCACAAACTTAAGATTTTCATTATGAAGATTGAATGAGCAACTACTAACAAATCCCAGAATCCTAAAAGCTACAGTTATATTTAATGTCCAAAGACCAAGTATAAGACAAGGATGCATTCCAACCACCTACTGCTTTTCCAACTTTAACTCAGTAAACTTAGATTCCATAAAATGATATACAAGAGATTAGCCACTGCTGAATGCCTGGAGACAGCAAAAAACATAACGATAGCTCATTGATTTACCTTCCATAAATTACTCTCCAAAGTCAAAATATTAGGGTTTCAAGTTACAAGATCATAACCGGCTCAGAAGAGTCAGAATTGATACAACAGTATGAAGAGCAGTAGGAAAGCACTGCACTGTTAAAGCTGTATATCAGTGTTTCTGTCAGCATTTGATGGAAAATGAAAATCCCATGTCAGTGTAATACATTCCTTCAGTAAATGTCAGCAACCTAGGCTATTACTGGCCACCATTAAAGACACTCTGAATGATAAGAGTTCCTATGGATTTCAGAAAAATTTGTCATAAGTCAACACTTGTAAAAGATTATTTGATGCAAACAACAAGATCTGGTTGACTAATTACCACATAACTAATATTAAAATATTACCTTTTAAAATTTGTGATGTTGAATTCAAGGTTACAAAAGTTCTAAGTACATTTGTATTCCTCATGGCATAGAAGTCAGAGATAGCATCCTCCTACCACTTTTTGGATATGGCCCTAATTTTCATTTATTGGAATAAACAGGAAGACAAGCATGTACCAAATTAATGTTCAATCACTATTCTTCTTAATCCCATAACCTACTTCTCTTCTCCCCCCATCTTATTTCCTTCTCTTTTGTAACCCTTCTCTTAGTACATAAAATTACAAATTCATCTGTAAAGGGATGTGTCAGTTCCACTTATAAATTCCCATTCTCTGCTATACTAAATTAAATTCTGTTGTTTCTTTTAACTGATCAGTGATAAAAACCCAAAAGCTTAAAAACCCAGCTACATTGTAACCTGAGGTTTTCCAAAAACCATGGTTAAAAAAAATCCCTAGATCACCAAGATGCTGAGCAAAACATATGCCCAATACAAAACACTGACTGTTCTTATTTTGGAACTAAGTAATGGGAATTATCTGGACAAGTGCCTTACCTTCACTATTGATGAATCAAAATGCTGAAGAGAGATTTGGAGTAGCTGCAGAGTGACAATTGTGATGGTTAAATGGGAAGGAAGAGCCCCTTGTAAGGAAGGGGCAATATTTCTGACTAAAGCAGGAGGTATAAGAGCATGGGAAAAATCAGAATGCCTTGCGCTACAAATGTATGTCTCAACTGCTGATGTGATCACTCAGCAAGGGGAGACCATTGCACTGGAAGACATTTTGGTTGCGATAACGTTAAGGGTTCTGCTAAAAGGATGGATAACAAAATAATATTGCATTGCACGTATAAAAGTGAAAAAGAAATAAAGCTTAGTAAATGTGCCATCCTTTGTGTAAAGCAGGTGAAACATCACCTGGTGGCAGAGTTATGCAGCTCCATTTCCAAATGGTCCCAAGACAGAACGTGAATGCACAGATGCCAGCACACTGTCGGCAGTTATGGCCATAACTCCTCCTTTGCTGGTTACTGTTACTTACCTGAAAAGTTGGTCTTACACTTCATGACACATGTAACACTTGCTTTTCACTATTGTAAGGGCACCGTATCTCACATCGTCTTATTTGTCAAGCACAGCGTCAATTCCAATTTTATGCATCTTTCCCATGTCCCTCCTTACCTTTCTTCCATTCAAAACTACCTAAAAAACAAACAAAAAAAGAGAATCTAACTTAAATTTCCATTTCACAGCTGTGTCTCTGTTCTGCTCCTACCTGTCTGATCCTTATGAATGGATCACCAGACAGGTATGGAGATGCCAGGATAAAGATTGAGTAGATATGTAGAAGGGATTCCAAAAGGAACGCCTGCTCTATATCTTCTGATATAATTTACTACAGATGACAGATTCCTGAAATTTTGCATTAAACACCTTATGCTTATCATTTGTGAAACAGTCACTGCCCAGATTTTATTCCAACTTTCTTTCTTTTTACATACATATGCATACCAACTGCAGAGTCATGAATATTCAGTGATATGCAAGTGTAACAGTGCTGATCCAAGCACTGCACTGAAGGAACATAAGGCCCTTTAACCTCTTATTAGAAATACGTATTAGATGAGAACAGTAAAATCTGTCCTAAATGCATAGCTAAGTCATAATTAACCCCTGTCCCCATCTGTACCAAAAGAAGAACTGCGTGTAAAAACAATGTTGTTACAGACTGTGTATGATATTCTAGAGCTAATAAAGCCCTGCATCAATAAAAAGACAAGCCTGTTCACTGTAAGTTTTAAATTTTGGCCTTATACATACAGCATTGTGTCTAATTATAATCAAGATCTCTCTTACATCCACCAGCCAATAGCAAGATAAAAACTAAAGTTTTCGTTTGACTAGAACTGTGGTCTTCGAGCC